CGGGCAACACCGAGGGGATGCCATTTTGACTCCGCGGAGTTGTTGTTTCTTTTCACAGGGCTGGCAGGGAAATTTCGTACAGCCTGCTACTGCTGGTGTGTCCTCAAATGTTGTCACTTCATGCGAATAATGTGCTTCAGCGAGTGAGGGGTTGATTGGGTTTGTGTGCACTCTGATTGTGTTTGCCACTTTGTGCGGGCACGCAACACTTGAGTGGTGGGAAAATGGAGCGGGGCGATGCCTGGCCGCGTCTCGCCCATTGTTCACTGCACGATGGTGTGGTGCATATTGTGGTGTTGACTCTGCGATGTGACTGCGGTCTCCTGTGCGGCAATGGTGGTGGGTGGAGGAGAGTGTTGACCCGCTGCGTGACGGTGGGATCGTGTCTCCTTTTCTTTTTACTCCTTCCCTTTTGTGAAGGTGTGCACTTATTTTTTGTGTCGGTGATGGGGCAAACAGACCGACAACGTGAATAAAATAAAACAAAATAGAAAAAGGGGCGATACTGTGGCGGTGTTGTTTCGGCCGATTGCACGTTGTGTCGCTGCGGGGGCGGTGGGCCTCGACTGTTTTGCCGACAGGCGTTGCAGTGCGGCTGCATGGCGCACCGACCACCGAGCCGTGCGAGTGCCACGCCCAACGTCATTGGGACAGCGGGACGAAACAGCCGCGACTGTGCTTTGGAGCCAGCGGCACCTGCTGGCCGCAGTTGGGCGGTGCGAGTGGGATGCCTCACCGCACGGGTGTTGTGATGACACCTCGCCGTGGCTCTTGTGATGGTTCCGACGCTGCAGCTCGACATGCGGTGGGGAGTAAAGTGTGACCGCAGTGGACCAATGAGCAGCACCAACATGAGGCTGAGTGATTTCCTTTGGAATTACGTTGGCGGCAGGGCGGCCGTTGATGAAAGACTACAATGTGACGATGGAGATGTTTGTTCAGGAGCCGGATGGTTACGCACAAGACCAGCGGCTTCTTGAAGAAATTCTTAACCTAACTGCGCACCAAGCGCTGGAGGCCATTACTAAGCCTCTTCACGGAGGTGTGCTCTCTCTCGGGCAACGTAGGGACTATGAAAGAAAAGGATACGATCACTCCTCTTGCAAGGGGAACACCAAACGGAGTACTCACGCAGGTACTGACAGAAGCGAGGCGGGAGGCAGAGGAAAGGCTAAGAGGAACGCAGGAAATGAAATTTACCATTTCCACTAATATCGAAGATGTACTGTTTAAAGGAAGAGTTCGCGTCAATGAAATGAAGCTGAACGACTTTCTTACGAGGGAACCGGACGGCAGGGGCGTTGTGTACACCAATCGGGATCTCTTGCTGGAGGAGTTTTTCAAGGACCCCACGAAGTATGTCCGTGATAAAGGAGCGTTGAACGAAATGCAGGCATCCGGTCATTATTTGGGTATGAAGCGAGCTGTGAAGGGTGAAGTGATCTTCGACGAGGATATACGCAGGCTATGCGATAGGGTGTCAACAATCTACCGGGGTGGTCATTGGCTGCTGCGGAGGTAAAAGCAACTGTTCATAACTCCACTAAACATTTCTTGGATGCAGCTGCCGAGGAGGCGAGGAACCCAACGACGACGAGCACACCGGAGAAACTGCAGGGATTGTACGAGTCTGTGCACAATGCGAGGTGGAGCCATGCGGTGGAACTTCCGGACGGCGTAGAGCGAAAGAAAACGGGGACGGGAATGGGGGTGCATGAGGGGAGGCCAGAACAGTCATGGTCGTACAAGAAAGCTGACGACGCTATCGAAAAGAATGACGCTGTGCAGCAATTCGGTGCAGCACCTCCCGTGCTGATGTTGCTCGCCTCGTACAATGGATGGCCGTGCTCGTGGCATACGATACAGGATCTTCCTAAGGACGTTTTGTAAACTGTGCGGTGGATCGAGCGTGGCAGATCGTCAAGGGCGATGTAACCGCGTGGTTCAGTCCTCACGGTGGGACCGACTTTGAGCCCAAGCGACGTGTGCTGATGGGGACGCCCGGGATCGGGAAATCGGTGGCTGCCGGCTCGTACCTCCTCTACCAGCTGCTGCACTGCGGTGTCGAGAAACTCCCTGTGGTTGTCCACTGTTTTGGTGGAGGAGATGCGTACGTGTCTGACAAGACCACCAGAGCGGTGACAAGATGCAGCGATGAGGGCATGTGCATCTCGGAGTTGAGAAGTTTGAGGGGGCACGGGAGGAATGTGTATATTATCTACGATGTGGCAAAGGAGGGAACGCCGCCACCGAGACATTTTGCGCCTACTTCTGGATGGGGCATGATTGCGGTGTCATTCCCAAAGGTAGCCAACTATGATGAGTGGGCGAAGCAACTACAAGCCGCGCGAATCATCGTGAATTGCCCCGACGAGATGGATGTGAAGGCGATGTGCGCCTGGATAACGCGTGATGAGACTAAAGAGAAACAAGCGGAGTGCTGGAAAGAGGTCAAGAACACATGTATCTTTTGGGACCGATTCCACGTCACGTCTTTGACGAGGAGGCGTTTACGGAACGCTGTGGAGCGGTGGAGTTTGCATTGCAGTCGATCAACGAGGTAACTGTGAAGGAGCACTTTTCACGGGGAGGTGAGTCGCCATGGTACTCTGAGGATCCGTCCCACAGGCTTGTGAAAGTTGTTCGGGAAACATACGCAGGCGGTGTGATCCTTTTCAATGCACCGATATCTGATTGCCTCGAGGAACGGACATTGGAACGCCTCCCAAGTGTAGCAGAATAAATTAGCTTTTGAGGCTGATGTTGGCGTCGAGGGATAATATTTTGCCGATGTTTTTTGGATGGCTTGCTTTGAAATCGTTCACGGAGAGTGCCTTTGCCAAGGCAATTGCGACGTAACCCACGGAGTTTGAGCCGCCAACAGGACGTCAAGCGAAGCCCTGCGTCTTGAAGTTGGCCCCTGAATTTCATCCCAAGGGAGATGAAGGTTTGCTGCCGAGTGAATATGAAAAAACGATCCGTAAAATGAAGCACGGGGTGCTGCACACACCGTGGGCTACAAAATTTCCGCTGGTGGACGCCTTTTTTCTTCTCGGAGTTCAATCCAATGACGGTGGTTGGGCTGCGGATGGCTACGGCGGGTGGGCGCCACACCACCGCCAGCACTGTGCGGCGGTTCACTGAGTGCCTGGCGGCATATTTTAATGGTTGGGAGGAATTGTCCCGAGACATGTCGTGGGAGATTATTTACGTGCAGCAGACAGGCAGCACGCCGAGGAATGGCTGGCAGAGATGTGATGTCGAGAATTCCAATAATGTGAGCGACGAGAGCCGTGAGATTCGGCGTTTTGGAAGGAAGAGGTGCACCAGTACCAATTGTCAATATCGTGCAGAGACTTTTGAAGAGACGAAGCTCTTCGAAGTGTGCAAAAAATAATAACAATAATAATAGGAAAATAGATTAGTAAATTGAAAGTGAACGAGTCATTTTGATTTGTGGTAAAAAATATTGTGGGATTTATTTATTTTTGGATGCTTGTGCCTGAGCATGCGGTGCGGGTGCACCATCTCCATGCGGCAGCACCGCACACAAATGCCAAAATGTCCAACGCTATCGAACATAACAGTGACAGAATAAATTAGGGAGGGAAAGGGGTTGCTTGGCTTCTGGTGGAAAACATTGGGTGATTTTTATATGTTATTTTGATTGTGTGCGCATACGAGGCGTCATTGGAGAATTGCCCCAGTATGAGAGAATCATTGTGGCTGGCGGTGTCACGGTGTTACTGCATTGTCCATTTCCTTCTATTGTGTTCGAAGGCCCATCACTAACAGAAGCATCTTTAAGGGATGGACGACGAATAAGTTCTATTGTGGAAACAGTGCGCTCCGTGTGACCCCGTGGAGTGAGGCGCCGCGTCATGGCTGGATGAGGATCCGCTTCCGCGTGTGGCTCCTTGGGTGATTGTTTGCTCGGTGTGCGTTGTGTGTTGGCTGCGGGCTGTGGCCGTATCCCGTTGCCGTGGGATTGAACTGGAGGCGGTGGCGGTGTGTGGGCACTGCGGCGCACCACGCTGGAGGATGGCCGTCCCGTCGCTGGCGCCATGCACATTGACTGTCAGTTTCATTTCACGGACGCCTCGCCGCGCACTTGATGGCCTATGCTCTCGGGTTCAACTGCCCGCACATGGCAGGCCGCAGCATGGCGAGGAACGTTGTCGGTGTGCGTGGCAGGGCGCTGTCGGCGGTGGTAGACTCGACGACTGCCGCGATGGCAGCGAGGAGCCCCGCGACAGCGACGACATTAATGGCATGGAGCTGCAGGATGGCGATGGGGACGGGAGGACGCTGGAGTCGCACTGGTCGCAGCGCCACGCGAGGGATGAGTGGATGGCACCGATTGGTTGTGCCGGCTGCTGCACGGAGCTGACGCTGGCTGCACCGGCTGACCTGGGCTGCATGAGGGTGAGGTGGGAGATGGCGGAGCCGATGCGCTGGTGAAGGAATTCGTGCTGTGCGCTGCTGCAGAGGAAGTGCTCCGCATCGAAAATGAGTGAATCCCCAGATGTTCTGCGAAGCAGACGTTCATGCCAGACGCCGCACGTTGGATCG